GGACTGGAAAGAGTACAGAAGGCAGGCAGTGGATACTCGTTGTTAGTCTTGGGTCCCTTATGCGCGGTTCAAGCAGGAAACCGGGTGGGGGCTCGCAAGTGTGGGGATCATTGTCGACTGTACTCGAACGGGATCACTTCTATAGGAGATCTGCACGTTCGCCGCTACATCGACAGACAACACCACAAGTCGCGATGACGAGTTATGCGTCCTGCCGAACTTGAAGGGAGGCCCCGGACCGGCAAGGGACGGCGGCTTTGATGATCAAGGAAGTCGGGCGAAAGCTCCACTTCCCTCGGCGTGGACGGGTCTGAGCGACGTTTCAAAAGAAAATATTCACCAAAAGTATATCTTTTAGAGACTTACTTTAGAGTTTAGGGTTTTTAGGACCGGCTAGGAGTTTTCCGGCTGCTTTTTTCGCGTGCCTTCGATGTTATGCTGTGTCTCTGTGCTGTGCTGTCCGTTTCGGCGGAATCGATCCTTCTTCCGGACCATTCAGTTAATGAGTTGAGTCCTGGTATTTGCTATGTACTCTATTTCGTATTTCTGCACTTTTGAGAGCTCTCAGTTTCCCGTTACCTGTTGTATCCGTCGGGGAAACACCGCCACCGAGGCACCTCGTAGATCGGTTCCGGATGCGCGGTAGTCACGGCCACAACATTCAGAAGTCATGCTGTGCCGGCTTCCTCCCTCATCGACGCTTATGAACAACTAAAAGAGGGTGTCCACGCCACACTAGGAGACCTAGAGCCACGGGACCTGCAGCACTGGACCCTGTAACAGGGCCTTCGCAGTGTCGACCGATGAACGCTCCCAGGTAGCGGTTAGTAAGCAGTAAGGATGTGAGGGACGCTCCCGAGAAATATTTTAAACAGTGAGCGGTTCACGCTGCACTCGACGGTCAAAGCTTACAGAACGCTGGCAAGTTGCTGTCGCCACGTTCGTGTANGCGGTTCACGCTGCACTCGACGGTCAAAGCTTACAGAACGCTGGCAAGTTGCTGTCGCCACGTTCGTGTAAGTACATGCTGTGATGTGGGGCTGCTATTGTGAACTGTCGACCGAGGCACGTCACCATAATGCTCGAAACTGTACTACGGGGGTGCTGCTATTCGAAGGTTATTGGCTTTACTTGTGGCACTCTAAAGCTGTTGAGCTGTCTACACTAAGCAGGTTCTGCGCGTTTCCTGTCTTCTCGTCGCTTGCCAACATCCTCGTCCGCTGCCCTACACGAATACTGATTAAATTGAGAGACAGCCAAGCGCTGTATAAGAATTATGCATACAATGAGTTTCTAGATCACCAAATGCTGTATAAATACGAATTATGCATGGGATGATGAGTTGCTAGAGACAGCCAAATGGAATCGTTTCCCGTTAATTCTACGATCCGTGCAATTTGCCGGCAACCGCCAAGCCCAGCCGAATGCGTAGTAGTAGGGTGATAAAATGGATGTACAGATGTATATAATGAAGTTTGTACATATATACTATGGCCATAGACAAAATATATATATGTAGTGCATACATAAATATACACGCAACATTTCATATCCCTTCGGCTGCAACATCACACAAGCGACATGCAGACGGTCCCCTCGAGTTGGTTTGCAAACGCAAGAATAATCTTAAAATACTTGTTCCGTAAATAAAGTAAATAATGGCTCCAACTCCCCAGCGCAACAAAGAAACGACCTTCTTCCCCCCTAAAGATCCTCCCGCTCTGGCGAAGCGGCGGCAGCTACATCTGCTGCTTCTACTCTGCTGTGTTCGTACTGCCCCTGCAAGGAATAAACAGCAAATTCTGATACACTTGCACATTCAGATTTGCAGCAGTT